ATCATGCTCAGACCATTGTCTCTAAGTTTACCTTAATTTTCAAATGTAACAATATAACATTATGGATTTAGTTGGGCACAGTTTCCCTGCCTTGCTGTTGAATAGGCTAGTAGGCTGATCAGAGGCATATGGGTAGCTGAAGGAGGAGTTCTTGACTTTTTCTACACTGGCTTTATATTTTGGTCACCAGGAAGTAATGTCAATGGTTTGAACCTTAGCTCCCTAGACCAATTAAGACTCTAGGACAGTTTTAATACTGATTAGGAAAAACCTAGCCTAGGCTGTATGGGGCAGATGTTGCTCCTATCACATACTACTCCTTGGTGGCAAGGTCGTAAAGGTCTTCGAGAGAATCTTCCAACACTTAAATGGTGTTATTACTGATTATTATTATTAATGTGGTTATTACTGGACAACCTTGACTTTGGGGAAGTGAAAAGCCTGGCATAGGCAATACTGGAGGAGAAAAAGGAAAACAGAGAGCAAAAAAGAAAACAAGCAACAGCCCTCTGAAGAAGTGACAGAATATGGAGAACAGAGACCAGAAATCTCAGGCTTCAACTGAATTTTGAATTGGTTCATATTCTGACTGATGTCAAACCTCTGTTGTTCATAGTACATCTCCTGATGTAAAAAGGTAATAATGAGCAAGAATAGCACCAGAAACCTCAGGGCCACAGCACAGAAGATGGCACTTTTGGCATAGTTACTGATCCTCATCTTGGGTTGGGATCTTAAACAGCTAAGAGGACATTATTGTCTTGCATATTCTCTTCAAGAACCAAGGTCAAGGGGCAGCTAGGTGGCGCAGTGGATAGTACACCGGCCCTGAAGTCAGGAGGACCTGAGTTCAAATCTAGCCTCAGACCAAACACTTGACACTTACTAGCTGTGTGACCCTGGGCAAGTCACTTAACCCCAATTGCCTCACCAAAAAAAAAAAAAAGAACCAAGGTCAAGAAACTCATCCTGTACCACTCCACACTCTATGTTTCATGACCCACCAGCCAAGACCTCCCCTACTCACTGGTAACCACTGGTGGGGGAAGAGATATCAAACCTTTAGAACAGAGGTTCCCAAACTTATTTGACCTACTGTCTCCTTTAAAAAAAAAAAATTACTCAGCACCACTACCCCCAACCTGGAAATCTATCTTCTTTAATCCTTTAACAGTTTTTTTTAATTTGCATCATTTCAAAAAAAATATAAAATATATATTTTTTAAAATGACGCAGCTTAAATTTAATAATTTCTTGTAAATTTATGGATTTTTTCCTGCATTGAAATTTTGATAGTGCAATATTGCATCATATAACCACATAGTATCATATTGTAAACAAGTCATTACTCACACATATTCCTGCCAATGTATGCTGGACTTCCCAATAATGCCCACATGCTCGCCTGCCAACACTAGCTTGTTAAGACCTGTCATCAGACTTGACCACTGATCAGTTATAACTTGCATTTTGTGTGTTTATTTGGAAAATAATGTAATTACTATGACTTTAACTCTGTTATACAACAGATGAAACATATACGGTTTTTTAAAATTTTATTATCTTCTCTTCTTTCCTTATCTTTCCACCCTGCCCTCTTATTTTTATTCAATGCCCCCAACTGCACCTGAGGCTACTACTGCCCACCCTGGAGCTTTCCAGTGCCCCACAGAGACCATATCGCCCACTTTGAGAACCTCTGCTAAAGGTCTCTGCCTAGCATCTGTCCTCCTTCCTTTGCAAAGTTTGGATAGACAGTTTCATCTTTTTTCTTTCATTACAAAGCGAGGGATCTCTCAACAACTCTACCCCCTTGGTCTTCCAAGCCCTTCTTGAGAAGTTGTCCATTGCCCACTAAGTACAAAACTGAAAGCAATATGGAGGGGCTATGCCTCATATTATAGTAAGCAAAAGGCTCTGATGGTCTGCCTGAGCTGCGGCTCATGCCTGTGTCCACTCAGCTAGAGCCATGTTTTGACCCTCTCCACTGCTGTTGGGGCAAGGGCTACTGCTGCCTGTCCTGTGGCTATTGGGGACTATAACACTGCTCACTACTTTGGGACTAGGAAGTGACCCCCATGCCAGAGTATAAATGCTTCCCCTGTTCTGAGGCCTTAGCACTTAACTGTGCTGCCCTTGTGCCTGGGCCAAAGTACTACCACAAGCACTGCCATTGTGCTTTTATGATGAGACAAGAGCACTGCCCTCCTGTTTCAGGGCCAAGTACTGTTCACTGTCGATGAGGCTTCAAAACTATCATGTAAACCAGGCCCTGAGGCATGAGCCCTATGCCAGGATCCCAAGTACTGTCCCACCCTGGGCCAGGGCAAAGAGCTTCCATGAGTTAGGGCTGCAGCACTACTTCCCTGTACTAGGGCCAAGAAATGCCCTCCTATGCTTGTTCTGGACAGTTTTACTGCCCCCTGTGCCAAGACTGGTGTTCCCCTCTATTAGGATATAACAATGCCACCCATGCCTGACCTGAACTGCCATTATCCTCCTTTACTGGGGCCTAGTGATGCCCCTCTGTGCCATGGCCAGAGCACTTCTGCAGGCACTGTTATTATCCTTCTGTGCTGGGGTCAGAACATTACTGGGTATTACTGCTGTTCCTTTGTGCCTAGCTGAGTGCTAGGGCTAGAGGCTACCAAGGCACCTCCATGTTGGGCTGAGCACTATCTCCCTCCGCTATCACCCACTTCCAGTGCTGCAGGCCAGGCACTGAAAATTGGTTGGCCCACCACACAGATGAGATCAGAAATGGCCACGTGAATTGGCTCAGGCAATTCAAAGGGGTTTTCTGGTTAGTCAAACTAGGTCTTGAGCTCCTCTATTAGTAATTATCTTATCTGACACATAAAACTCTTGCTTTCACCCAGAAGCTCTTTACATCTTGAACTCACAAAGCTGCTACCCAAGCTAAGATTATCGATTTCATTATCACTCACCTATGCTAGGGAGTAGGGGTAGGGAGGGGGAGGCATAAAACTAAAGAGGTGTGCCTTCTAGGCCAGGACATGTGCTCTACCTGTCATGTGGGAACAGTCGCTGTTTTTTGACAGTGTGGATTATGCCTATGGCTTCTTCTAGGGCCCACTCTTTGGTGGCTTCTCACTTACCCCTTACTGGGGAGTTGTAGTTGAAAGGAACCAGAGTAGTGGTCTCTCCTTTTGAACAGATGCAGCCCCCTCCCATCTTTAGCAAATCAGCTGGGGTATATTTTCCATATTTATCTCTATCATCATTTCAGAAAAGTCTCTATAGCGCTGGGAAGGATCCAGTATTATCTCCCAAATACCACCTCACCCCTCCACCCCGCCAGTATCTTTCGCCGGAGTCCCGAGAAAGTCCATGTGGCACAGTTCTCAATGGCCTCCCAAAGACCATGTAAGAATTTCCATGCAGTCTATTAGCATATATTCCAGACAATCCCCAAACCAAAGTCTTTAGGGAGGGACCAGTCCTACAATAGCCAGAGGGCCTAGAGATCACTATTACCCCAAATATGTTATGAAAACTAGACAATATTCATCATCTTCAGGGCATGGTTCTTAAAGATACAGAGTACATTCACATCTGTCTCTAGTTGCTGAATTTCCACCCTGTCCAATGTATATAGCCAGCATTTCCAGAAACTTTGCCAGAACCATGGAAGGTAGAGGGTACAGACCTTCTGTATCTGGGGCTCTGATTACTCAGGCCCCACCTTCCTTCGTATTGCCCTTCCTTCATTTCATCGAAGTCATTCCTCTCCAATCCTGCCAACCAACACCAAATGTTGTAGGCCAGGCCTGATCTAGGCCTCTAGTGTTTGAGCTTCAGGATTGGAATGAAATGAGACACTTATAGACCATCTAATAGTTCATAAAAGGAAATTTACTTAGCCATAGCATAGAAAGGATATTCAACATGGATACAACATTGATTTGGTTGAACACAGCATCCTTGCTTGGCTATATTGGAGGGCTGGCTAGTCAGAGACTTGTATGTAGCCAGAAGGAGGAGCTCCAGGATTTTCATACGCTGGCTTTTGTACCACCAGGAAGTAATGCCAATGAGCTGAGCTTAAGCTAACTGGGCTGATTACGTTTTCAGGGTGGTTTCAACACAGTTTAAGGAAAAAATACCTAGCCTATGTGGCATAGATGTTTTTTCTTATGAAGAGGATGATAACATAAGCTAACAAAGCATTTGACTTTCAGCTTTGCTAAAATCTAAGTAAAGTCTTTGCAGTACCCCTTCTCGGGTTAAACATCAATAGCATTTCCCTGATCTACCAGTCTAGCTACCATGTCAAAACAGGAAAGAAATAAAGTCTGTCATGAACGATTTTTAATAAAACCATGCTGATTTCTTGGTGATCATTTCCTTTTCTAGATGTTCTCTAAATGTCTTTTAGTAATACATTCTAGAAATCTGCCAGGAATTGGAGTTAAGCTTACTGTATGATGATTCACAGATTCTACTTTCTTACTTTAAAAAAAAAAATCAGGTTACCAGGGCAGTAAGGTGGCACAGTGGATAGAACACCAGCCTGGGAGTCAGGAAGACCTGAATTCACATCTGACCTCAGACACTTACTAACTGTGACCCTAGGCAAGTCATTTAACCCTGTTTGCCTCAGTTTCCTTATCTGTAAATAAGCTGGAGAAGGAAATAGGGAACCACTCCGGTATCTTTTCCAAGAAAACCCCAAAATGGGGTCACTTAGAATGTCTCAAAAAAAAAAAAATCCAGTTGAGTCAAAAAACAGATAGTGTCATAATTCCCCTCTTCTGACCCCTCTCCATATCTTTGCTTTATAGGGGTTGCTTATTTGGATCAAACCATGATAGTTTTAAGTGAAAAAAAGCAAGAATTGTAGTGGTTTGTTTGTTTGTTTGTTTGAGGAGGTGGGGCACAAAGCAATTAACAACAACAACAACAAAAAAATCAACCAACAACAATGAACCTAAAAACTGAGGGTTTCTGTCAAGTGTTTTTGAAAATGTGTCCATGTGGTTGCTTCAGCTGCACTTACTAAAATTGTAATGTTAAAGGGAAGATGAGCATGATCTCTGCTCAAGAATAACATAGGAATTCATGAAGTGTTCCATATTTTTAAAAGAAAAAAAATGTTGCCCACATCCATACTTTACTTTCTTCTCCATAAAATCATAACATTGTAGATTTGATGGAGACCTCAGAGATTATCTCGTTCCACACGCCTAGGTAGGATTTGTTTCCTAAGGCAAATTCAGTTGAGGTGAATTACGGTGGTGCATTAGAGGACAATCTACCCTCGCTGTGTTTAAGAAGAAGATGGACATTGGGAGAGAGGCAGGACTAACCTCTAGAGGTATGGCAGCCTTGGGCCAGAAGAGAGAAGGGAGGAAGCTGCTAGGGCAAGGCATGTTGCTGGGAGGATAAAGGGCTGCATTGGAGAAAGTATGTCCCTTGAATATTGGCACCCTGGGGCAAAGCCTTTTCATTCTGTCCTAGTTATGGCAGAATCTAGTTCAATTCTCCCAATTTTACAGAGGACAAATTGAGGTCAACTAAGGGGGGGTATAGTCCATGGTCATACCAGCCAAATAGTAGTAGAATTGTGACTAAAGCACAGGTTTCTGGACTCAAGTCTTTAGCTTTCTCTACACCATGCCCTATATAAAGTGGATATCTATGTCAAAAAGTTATAAAGGAAGGAGTGTTGTAGTGTCTAACCTGTGCAGAAACCATAAGGATAGGCTCTGTAATTGGAATTTCCCTGCCAAATGGCAACAGCAAACTTTACAAAATAAAGGCCTCTGAAAGGGAAAGAGAATAGAAAGGTTAGCAGAGATAAATTTATTAGTTAAATACTGATTTTACAGCAACCTCACCTTAAGACAACGTTAACAGGTCTGTGGGGTCAGAGGGGTATGGGCATCCATCCTTCATGGAAGGGAACAAAATGGGAGATTAAAATTGAACCTTGTTTTAAAGATGCTCTTTGCTACTGGTAGATTCTTTTGGGTCAGGGTTAGGTAATGTCATAGACAGTTACAGCACTGTTTATGAAAAAGGAAAAAAGATCATGGTAAAGAGTCTCTATGGGGCCCTGGGGCCCTCTTTGAATCAGCAGTATTCTAGGACAGCAGTAATAGGGTAAGGTAGGGAAGGAAAAAAGACCAATTCCAGAGAAGCTCACAGTGGAGGCTTTCCAACGGGTCACACTCAGTGCTTTCCTCTAGGGGATGTTTTTTCAACTCTCTTGAGGCTTTTCCCTGCCAGGTAGAAGATTTCCATTTAAAAAAATCAGAGTCAAACATTTAAGCCAGTTAATATCTCATCATTATACACATAACTTGGTCCAGAACCTTTGAAAAAGCCTGAGAGGAGGCAAGGAAGGTACATGTTACATTATACATGAGAGCTGCATCATAAGTGAAGGTTCAGAGAGTATGGGAATAAGAATCACTGGCTTGCAGAAAGATCCTCCCACCTCCAAAACCTTGTCATCTCCAAGTCACTGAGCTCAGCTGAGGGGGCAGTGCCCAATCAGACCTTCTTCTCTGGCATGGCTTTGTATTCCAGGCAAAGCCTCAAGTCTTAGGTCATGGGAGTGAAATGGTAAAAGGAAAAGATCTTCCTATCAGGAAATCTTGTAGGAGGAAGTCATGTGAGAAATGGTCTCTGACTACAATGAAGAAGCTTTCCCCATTTGGTCTGTGGAAGGTAGGTCTCTGTACTCGATGATCCAGGCTCTTTCCAGTTTTCCTACCCAAGTAGCCTTTTAAGTTTCTTCCAAATCATTCTTCTGGAGTCAGTCTCATCAAGGGAAGGACTGGGAATTCTGGCTACAGAAAGCCCCAAATCTCTCTCTTCCCTGGCTTCCAAAATCCCGGAGTCCATATGAGGAGTCTGAGGTGGAGAAAGAGGTGAGATTATGCAGTGATGATATCCCCATGGCTTTCAGCTAAAACAAGGCTATTCCAGGAGTCCTGCTTGGTTCCAGTCTGTGGGGACTGGCTGACTGGAGATGGGTAGCCCTGAGGAGAGATCTTCAGGGCTGACAGAACTGGATGGATAGAAGCCCCATGGCCAGACATCGAGCTGACTGAGAATGACTAGAAACAAAAAGTGAAAGGATGAAGTGAAAGAGAGTTCATCACAGAAGGCTACAAAATATCTGGGATGGGAGAGTTCAAAGTGGAATTTTAATCACAGGGCTCATGCCACATGGAGACCCTTGACTTGTGGCTTAAATTATTTCTCTTCGGAAGCCCTTAATTCTCAGCCACTTACCATATCTTAAAAGCTTGGGCAGACCCAAGCCTCTGGCAAGTGGATTAAAGAAAAAGGATGAGGAAAAGGGAAAAAGCAAAATGAAAGGCAAACCAATCTGTCCCTCTCCTAGCTGGGTCCATTGAATAAAGGTAGCTTGGCATGGTGTTTATTGCTTTCTCTGCCCCTACCATCCCAGTGGACAATGGGTTGGATTTGCAGTCAGATAATTTGGGTTAAAATCTCAGCTTTGCACTAGACTCTTGTGAGACGTTGGGCAAATCATTTCTCTTTGGGTCTCAGTTTTCTCATCTGTAAAATGATGGGGGTTAGATGATATGACCTTTAAGGTCTCCTTCCAGCACTGAAATCTATCTTCAACATTGAGGTATGACATTCTCCATGGCCACAAGGAGTTTTCACCTGCATTGTCTCATTTTATCCTCATAATAAGCCTATGAGAGAGATAGGACAAGTGTTATTGTGCCCATTTCACAGGTGAAGAAGCTGATAGTAAGAGGTTGTGATGTCACAGATTACAGTTATTGAAACCAGGTCTTGAACACAAGTCTTCAGAATCCAGAATCTCATATATACCATATTGCTTTGATAAAGAGTATCAAAATGGTGCCTTGATAGGATAAGCATTGTATGACAAAGGGAGAAGTCTTAGAAGGAACCAATGCAGCTATCAGACACACAGTGATGTCTACTGGCAGCTAGGTGGTGCAGTGGATTGAATGCTGGAGTTAGGAAGAATTGAGTTCAAATGTGACCTCAGATATTTACTAGCTATGTGACCCTGGGCAAGTCATTTTACCTCTTTGCCTCAGTTTCCTTATCTGTAAAATGGGGATAATAATATCACCTACCTCTCAGAGTTGTTGTGAGGATCAAATGAGATAATATTGAAAAATGCTTAGCACAATGCCTAGTACATAGTAAGTGCTATATAAATATTAATTTTTGTCATCATCATCATCATCATCATCATCATCATTATGTGATCTGGCTACAGTGAAAGACAACTGAACCTCTGGCATGTATGCACTTAGCAGTGAGGACCCTTCCCTTCAATTCCTATGTAAGATGCTCAAGGCTTCTCTCACTCAGAAGGACCAAAGCCCCACTGACCCCAAGAATACAAAGGCAGTTAGGAATGTTGAACCCTCCCTCATGTAATCCAAAGAAAAGGGCAAGTGGATTCGACAAGGAATGTGGGTTTTCCATCACCTAATCTAGCCCCAAGATGAAACAGGAAAACCAGTTCACAGTGGTTGCCAAGGAATCCAGAAGAACTAGGGCAGTCCTGAGCCTGGATCACAGAATAGGGACAGGACACTTCTGAAACAATGGTAAAGGCCGTTCTACTAAAGAAAGGGGGCAGCTGGGTGGCACAGTAGATACAGTGCTGGGCCTGGAGTCAGGAAGACTCATCTTGCTGAGTTCAAATGTGCCCTCAGACACTTACTGGCTATGTGACCCTGAACAAGTCACTTAACCTCGTTTGCTTCAGTTCCTCATCTGTAAAAAGAAATGGAGAAGGAAATGGCAAACCATTCCAGTATCTTTGCCTAAAAAACCCCAAATGAGGTCACAAAGAGTCAGAAAAGACTGGAAAACAACTGAACAATAAAATGTGGAGGAGCCAATTCATCTTTTGAAGGTCCACCTCCCCACATTAATGGAACATGGGATTTACCACTGGACAGGACCTTGGAGCTCCTCATCTGGCCCAATCTCCTCATTTTCCAGAAGAGGAATTTTAGGCTCAGACAGGTTAAAACACTGGCCCATGATCATATAGGTAATAAGTAGTAGAGCTGAGATTTGAACCCAGATCATCTGACTTCAAATCCAGTACTCTTTCTACTACACCATGCTGCCTCCTTAAAATGACAATAAGCTGGATGCTGAACCAAAGTGGGGAATTTCCCTACAGTCCCAATATAAATATATACTATAAAACAATAAGCCCTGATATTTATAATACTCATCACAGGGCAACCCCATCGCTCACTGAGGCCTTGCTTCAATTCTAGTTCAAGGTCAAAGTTTTCTGGTTAAATTGCATTCCTCATATTTCATCAAAGCTATGTTTAATCCTGGGGTTATCTGCCCACTAGGGAGCCTCCTCCCATCTCACTTGCCATACTTACCTGAGACATGGGGCTGGTATGTCCATAATGGGAGGAGATCCCTGGCTCTGTTTTGATGGGACGCATCTCCTCAGTGTTAGTGGTATTACTAGAGCTGCTGGCAGTGCTGGTGGTGGGAGTAAGACTCTCACTACCTGGGGGACCTAGAAACAAGGCACACACACAGCAGTGACCCTCAGGCAGAGTGACAGAGACAAAGAGGGATACATCTCCTCTAAGAAGGGCAGGAGGCAGATAACAATGGCATTGCTGGTTACAGAAAGAGACTTTATGATTATGTGAGGGAAGGATGGGATGGATTATGGCCAGAAAGAGGCCAGAAATCAGGAGGGTCGTATCAGTATAGAGTAAAGACCTAGAAAGTAAAATTTTGCTAGGATGTTACAATCATGTGACAAGAGGCAATATAATATAGTGGAAGCATTGCTGTTCTCAATGTCAGGAGAAGACCTGAGTTCGAATCCTATTTTTGGTACTTACCAGTTATAACAAGTCACTTGTGTGGAACTCTGTGTTCTTATTTATAAAATGGAGGGTTTTTGGTTTTTTTTAACCAGACCTGTGATTTCATCAGAATATAGAGCTCATGATAAGGAATTACTTATACCAAGGCAGATCAATATTTTCTCTGCAATTTTTAATCTTAGGGAGTTTCCTAGGGGCACTGAAAAGTTAAGTGACTTGCCTAGGTTCATAAA